TAACTATCAAAACGCCTGCCATTTGAAATAAATAAATGATTAAATTTGAGTGTCCAAGCCACCATCTTTCAAGAGCCATATCTCACCCACTTCCAGAATACATTCCCTGTATTAGAAAAAAATGACTGAAAAAAACAGAGAAAATTCTGACTCATCTCGAAACAAAAACAAACAGCTAGTCTTGTCCCGAATCGAGATTTTCTGGCCAATTCGTTGATGATTTGAAAAAAATGAAAGTTTATGCGAAGAAACAAATGCTTTAATGCATTTCAATGGCATGTTAGCACCGTCTAAGGAACACTACGCGTGCTTTATCGCGAGAATCTAACAACAGCGCTTTCGTTAGTCCTTACACAAAGAAGACTGTGCTCGAAAAACCACTAATTAAAGCAGATTTTTTGAGCAACAAGATATTGCACGCATCTTGTTCAAACGATGTGAATTATTCGCCTCTTCCGAAGGCACCCATTTAGATATGCAGAGGAAGAGAAGGGGGGGGGGGAGGGAAATGATAGCTGCCTGATGGGACACTTTTGATCTGATCCCTGCTGGCATTCGATTGATTAAAGATTGAATGTTCTCCATTTCATGTCTGTTGTGACATAGGGTTGACAATTCCTATTGTTAGACGAATGTGCCTTGTATGAAATGGCTTACTGATAACTTGGAAGACTCACCACAGACAACAATGAACTATCAGTGTCAATGTACACAAATGACAGCCCGGGATAGATTTTGTTTCCTCCTCTTAAAATAGGGTGCGAAACCAGGAGATGAGGTATTTCAATTTGGGAGAGACTCCAATAGGCATAAAAGTGATAATCCAGCTCTACAAACCAGTTAAATTAAGCGTTTCCAAATATTTATCCAGGACAGGGGAGTGGTATTTTGGTGAGTAAATTGGAGAAATGTACACCTACTTACCTCTTCCTTGATATGTTTAGACCTGCATAACTGATCATGGCAGTTGGGAGGCGCCCGCCCGGGAGTACCGAACTCGTGAACCCTTAGTCAATACAACACCAATCCACTAACAGAGGAATTTCTAGGTGCAGATCCATAATTTGATCTCACATCACCTGTGAATTTGCATACATTGGGTGCTAACTCTAAGCTGGTCAAATGTCCTAATGTTTACCCACCGGATCCCTGATAGAATAGTGTCCTACCTCGAGACTTCATACCTGATCTTCTCTTAGTTTATTGTTATTTTTGGGGGTGGGTATCCAAAGAGAAAATCTAATCATACCAAAAGGAATTACTTAAATAAAATATAAGCAGTTAAACGAACTGATGCTTGTTAATATCACTCTGGACTCAAAATTAAATAGTCTTCTGGTTAAAACATAGGTTCACAAGTAAGTTCCCCCCCCCCTACACAGCCACCATCTTCTTCTCCTCTAGATTTATCTGGGAATCATTCACTTGGTGCTTATTGTTGTCTCATTTCTCTCCAATGAAAAAGTTTACAAGAGGGAGGGAGGGGAGGGGTGTCAAATGTCCCCGTTACATACGAAAATACCAAGGGTGTCATCTCGTCGAAAATTCCTCTTACTTTATTTACACGCAGAAAAACTAGATACTGAAGGGAAAAAGACAAAATAATAGTCCGTTTATTTATGGAGCCTATGCGCACACGCACGTACGCAGAGTAGTTTATTGGGAAAATGTGGCGAATTTTTCCCCGCTGGATTTGAGCTTCTTTCTACCTTTCCCTAATCAATTCAAGTACAATAATATGGTTTTTATTTTACTTTTGTTCCGTGTTTCATTCCCACTGGGAAATTTGAGTTGGCAAATTAACAATCTCACCATTCAATCAATCACAGTGTGGAAGCAAGATTAGCGTGAGAGAACAATGGCCATTGGATAGAAAATGAGATATTCTCATTAAGAATTCATGTCGCATAATAGGAAAGTAGCCATCGTTTCCTTTCATTTCTTGCACACTTTTACTACACATTGTTCGCGCCCAATCATAATTTTTATACAAAACCGAGAAGTTACGATTACGAGAACATTTTTTTTAAATTCACTTTTAGGATTGCGCTGAAAAGTACAGGGGAAAGTGCACCTGTACACACAAATGTACAGACTCTAAGCAACTCATAGCAATGTGAACTCGGAAGCGATTTCCCCTCAATGTTTCCACATTTGGCTGCTTAATCGTGAACTCGCATTCATGTCGATTGCGTAGAGATCGAAAGCAAATTATATAGGTTTTTATTTCAACACATCGAATACGAACTGAGCATGCCAATAAATCTAATCAGCATTTGCTGGAATTTGAAAGCCAATCCAATCTTAATGCTTACGCAGAGCTAGCAAAAAAACATTCCTTTGGCCATTTCTATTGGTTAAACATTTCGTGAAAAGTACTTTCTCGATAAAATGGGCAATTATAAGTTGATAGGCACATCATTTACAGCAATGCAATTTGCCCTAAAGGGTATGGCAAAACTTTTTTGTTAACTAATTTAAAGCAAGTATTTTTTGCATAGCCCTAATATATTCAATTGCTCATTGAAAGAAATTGAAATGAAATTGGGAATGGGGGGTGGAGGGGGGGTAATTAACCAGAAATGAAAAAATGGGAAAACTCCTAAAGTCAGAACTACAAATACCCCGCGTTTGTAAGCAATTGTGGCAAGCGATTGTTGGAGTAAAATATTTCCTGAAAAGAAATTTTCTTAGCCTCTTATAAAATGGCAACTTTGGAGTGTTCTTCCTAGTTTTGTCAATATCCGATTGCATACCATTCCAAATTTCAACACAGAGCAAGTAGATAAGTATTTCTTAGTCTATTAAAAAAAAATTAAAAAAAGGAAATACCGAATGGGAGGTGCGGCCATAAGAAGAATATCCAGGAAAACTTTCAACAGGTGCACACAAAGAAAAGGCTTTAACACATAAATAGCTCCCCGATAAGTTCTATTGACCCTTAAGTGATAAGCTATTAAATTTATGTAATAGATAAAAGTCCCACCCTTCACGCAAACATCTAAAACAAACGGATCTTGTTTTAAGGAAAGGCAAAACTTACCGATGGCATACAATCGTCCGCCGGATGCAGCCAAAGCAACACGTGACCTCGGCGTGGATAAGGAGGCGACCTCTGTCCATTGACCTAGACCCGGCTCTCCGTTCATGGATACCAGTGCAGATGAAGTTGGGTCGTACATCTAAAAATAAAGGGGCCAAAGGTGTAGACGCAAATGAGAGGTCATCAACCACAAAGAAAATTGTCAAACTGCATCGTTTTCAAAAATTAATCATGACAAGTGGAAGGAGGCATCATTAGCGGCGTTACCCATGCAAAGATTAAGCTAAATTATTCCAACCTAGATTAGTTTCAAGTCTCCAGATAACAGTACGATTCTACTAGACGTGATTTAGAGGAGATCGAAAATCCTTGAAACCTGGCTGAGCAAATCACTAAAAGTATTGACACAACTTGAAAATGCCCTTCACAATCAAATAATTATTAAAACGATAGTAATGAACCGCCTATAATTGTATTTGTGGCGCAAAACTGATCCTACCCTATTTAAAGTTAAATGCGACTCTGATCAGGAGAGACAACTTGCCACTCTTAACAGAATTATGCACTAACCTCTACAGATCTGAGGAAATGGCATCCATTATAACCACCAGCAGCGAAGATTCTACCACGGAGTACAGCAACTCCATGTCGACAACGACTATGCAGCATAGGAGCTACCTGTCGCCAAACACGACGAATACCAGGTGTAAAAGGAGTTGCATTAGGATTTGAGGAGGTACTAGGAGGCATGTGGTGGCCCCTCCGATGATAACATTCCACAGAAGCAAAGATTGGCAATCCATTGTGTCCGCCAATCGCAAAGAGTCGACCATCCTCCAAAGCCACTACACCCCCAGCTGAACGACACTCCGTCATACTGGGTATCACTTGCCAGCTAAATAAAGTCAAGTCAATAATTTAAGGCGACTGCAGAAGGCGTGGACAAAAACTCATTCACCTGTAATCGCGTCATTCCTCATTCTCCAACTAAAAGTGATACAGTAAGCCAATATCTTAACGCCTGGACAATTCTCTCATCTCATAGCTACAGAGCTGCAAAATGAACCTACTTCAAAATAAGATGAGCTAATTTAAATAAAAAGATCCATATATCTTACATTAAGTCAAATAACGCTTCACTGACACGGAATTGTCAACATTTAAGGCCATCAAGCATGTTATCTTCACTTTCAAATTACGAAAATCTGCATTTATAAAAGCAGTGCTAATTTTATTCAATGGGTTCCAAGATAATTGCCCTCAAACGTCTTATGCCAAGAAGGAATTAAGAGCAAGAGGCATCAAACACAACTCCAACTCGAAATGTAGGCTCATGTATGGACATTTCTTTCTCACAGGCCCAAGTAAATGTTATCCAATTAATGTCTTTAATATTAACATTAACTGGTTAATGTCCTTTAATTAAGTAAAAACGATGTGTATTCAACTGGGGTGTGCGATAGACTTACCTCCACGTAGGGCATCCTGGGCAACGTATATTCATACGAAAAATAGTCTATAATCCGGCAGTTGACTTGAAACTACCATGACCCGACTCTATTGTCATACTCGACCACTTCCACGGTACTCTCCTTACCCTTTTCCCTACCTCTTTTACATCCGTGAAGCACTCTTCTGTTCCCTCTCGAATTTTCCCAACTTTGATGTTCCTCCTCCTCTCCGTGAAGTCCGAAGTCAGCTAAAGGGTTAATGATAACTATCAAAACGCCTGCCATTTGCGAAGTCAGCTAAAGGGTTAATGATAACTATCAAAACGCCTGCCATTTGATGTGAATAAATAAATGTGCATTCAACTGCCCAATTTTGGCAAATATGGACCAGTGTCAAAAAAGACTAGGCTAGGCTTGTCGACTGGCAATTCCGATGAACTCATTTTTCATTACCTCCATTTCTAACCGTGTTTCGGGTTCTAACGATGCCCCTTAAATCCAGTGTTCATCTACTAAGAAGCTCCACTGCACTGTTAATAGCTAAAAGGTCGGACTGGATGCCACCACACGACCCTACAAACTTGTGCATTTAAATGAAGACCATCAAACGCAATAAAATCGCCGTAGACCAAGTTAACAGCCTCCTATAATGCTTCTGGGATGCCCCTTAGTGTTAAGCGACTAGCCGTAAAAAAATGGGAAGTGATTGCGTATCCAAACTTCACATGTCGTTAACTTGCCAGTCTCACTTTACCCCAAGGTCAAAAGACTAAGAAATGACCCAATACATCTAATCAGGTAAAGTGCAAAAACGGTTGTTTTAAGGGTCCCATTCGAATAGTTTCGTCAGACTCATAAAACCAGAGAAGCTTCTAGGACATATTCTGTGTCCTAGATTTAAAAAGGGGACACACATACCAACATAAATACGACGAGTGGTACCCGTCGATTCAAACACGCATATCCGAAATGATAGTAGTAAATGCGATCACCCACTCCCTCCACCTTGACTGAAACATTTCTCTTGATTCACAAACTTCGAAAGTTTAAAACTTCTTTCCTTCTTTTGACTAACACTCTTAAAGATAATTTTGCTTGAGTAGATTCGATAAGATAGGCACCTATTAATAGCGCTTTCGCAGTTTATAGTCCTACCTCCTTAGTTGGAGCTAACAATAAACGAAATAGCTATTTGCAGTTAAATTAATCGAGTCTCATCATGGCCGTGTGTATTTTAAAAATATAATAACAATAAGTTTACATCTCTGCAGTTTCTTTGGTTTAAATTTGTCATTTTACGAATTAATGAGTGCACTTGAGTGCTTGTTTACTTGAGGTTACTTGATAGTTCTTCAAACTATTGTACCACTATATCTCTGAGATATATGCTCAATAGGAAAATGTAAATTACAATAACTATTGCAATATGAGTCAAAAACGAACCGATTTTGTTCAGGATTATAAACCTCACAGGTGCGAAGGGAGGAAACACCATCATAGCCCCCACAAACATAGATCCTCCCATTAAGCACAGAAGCTCCTAGAGCACTTCGACGATAATTCATTGAGGCAACACGTTCCCAAACTCCCGTTTTAGGATCGAATTTCTCCACAGTGTTGAGACGAGTGTAGCCATCCAATCCACCAATAGCATAAAGACAACCTTGAGATGTAAATACCACAATAAACAAAGAAATATGGAATTGAGATAAGAACATGATCACCGAACAAAACCACTAAAGTGAGTTTTCAGTGGACTCGCTCACTAAAGGCGAGCTTCTAAAACGTATTTATTACTAATAGTATAGAATGCCACTATAAATCTCACAAGTATACGTTCCAATGTAATGATACCACTTAAATAGATTATCAGTAAACCCACCTTTAAGTGCGACAACAGCATACCGACTCCTTTCCGATGACATGCTTTCCACAACTTCCCATCGATCTACAAGAGGGTTATATGCTTCTACAAAGCTTTGTAATTCGCCCCCTTGTCCTGCAGTCACCTCAACAGGGGCCCCATTAGCGATATTAGGGGATACCGCTTGAGCCGTAGAATTGGTATTAGCGACTCCTCCTCCGACAACATAGATCACTCCAATCACTTCCTGGCCACGTCTAGGTCGACAGACAAACGAGCATTTTGAGGTGGTGGCAGAGTCTGGTAAGAGGAGCAAATCACGAGCTTCATCTAGAAGATCCCGGCATGCCATATCGGCTCGAATGTGCGGATTCTTCGAGACTACATCACGAATGAATTGAGCGGAAAGAAGTGGTAGGCGAACACGGGAGAGCAATTCAGGTAGAAATCTGAGACGTGAAGAAGTTGATAGACTAGACTTTTCAGAGAGGGATAAGGCCATTTGGGATGAAGAGGTGGGAGTGGTGAATTGGAGGGACTGGAGAGAACGACTAAGTTCTGAACTCCCTGATGCTGCGGAAGGAGACGTGTGCTCACACCATCCGATAATTGAATAAAAGACGCGTTCTTCACTACTCACCTAAAGTAATAAAATAATGCAATCAGGGAGATTAGAATAGCGCAGTTAAGATGAGAGGGAAGAATTGCAATGAAGTTAAAACTCATATGCACACAAATTTATCAAGCCTTTTAGGAGAAATGCGGGAAGATTTCCTGAAGCCGCTAATACAAGACACTGAAATTCCGCCTTACCCTGCTGTTAACATGAATTAGTTAAAACGATTGACACCCACACCATTGGATGTGTACCTATGGGCATGAGTCTTGCGACATTTAAATTAAAAGACGAGTACATTGACCACTGCGACACTGACACCGACGTTTCTCAAAACCAGTCACCCTCATTCAGTTAAGTTGACCAAGAAATCATTGCTATCAATAATTTGGATAGATATGGATTGCACGCGATCTCTATAATCTGTACCAGAAGATGCGATTTTGATAGTCTATCGGGGAAATTAGCATTAATCAAATTCTATTTTGCCGTTATCAAAATAGCTAACACAAACCCACACTTTTTTTCGAGGGACCGATATGAAGAATAAGAATTCACATAACTGGGGACTGATATTTTTTCCAAAATTTTAGCAACAATAAAATGAATTAATACAAAAAGACGATTAGTCGCAGATTCAAGTAAAGATGAATTTTGCACTCACTTGAAGGTCATCACTTTCAAGAATTCTGCAAAACTCTGGACCAGAAAGAGCTTCGTAGAAAGCTGGGGAAGTGGCAAGATGTTCAAAATTCTCATGAATGATGCGATCACAAGCGCCAACAAGACCTGAGCAGAGAAAACTTGAAGCGAAACTACGGACCTGGAGGATATTTTCGAGGTTCAATCTAAGGAGAAAAAAACAAAAACTCAAAGATATAAATGATCATGCAAAAAAATTATAAACAGTTAACCTACTTAGAACTTAGTATTTAGTGGGAAAAAAATATAATGGAGTATGAACTAAAATTTACGATTATTGAAATCTGCTTAACCAACAAGATACGAACCTGTCTTCAATATATCGACAACAATAGTGGCGAACACTGTCAATGTGAAGAAAACTGGCACCAATGAGAGTGGCTTGAACATTCCCTGGAGTAATTTGAATTTCACCCGTATATGCAAATGTGATAAAAGCTTCCAATACACTAAAATATTGAAAAGAAAGATATCACAATCATACGCTGGATCAATGCCCTGAATAGTGATTTCACGTTTTGTTGCTTCACACATTCCACTCAAAAACATGGCATCGAAAAATGGAATTGTGGCAGCAAGAACAATTTTGTGAGCGGAAAACTTTTGATGGTCAGCCTAAACCAAATAAAGAAAGATAAATGGCTAACTATTAGTGTAACATCGCACAATTTTCCTTTACGGCGTATTTGCTCGAAATTCGAGAAGGAATTTCGAATAAGATTTTGATCCTTGAAGCGAACATTCGAACCAATTGAGTCCTAAATTTGATAAAAAATGATACACATCAGTATACCTGTCTAGTTAAACTTATCATTGCAAAGACAACGCCCTTGAGGCAAAGCAGACAGCTTAAATTATGCGGCTGGAAAAGGAGGAGATTTATTTTACCTTGAAAAGTTTAAATTTTACATATTTTGAAAAAAGTAATAAGCTGGACTCATAAAATAATCACCCATTGAATTTTCTTCAGGCACATTAACAAAAAAAGTAATGCTTATGACCTTAAATATTTCGTGTTTTTTATTTTCAATTGTTGTTGTTTAGAGAGTGCAGATATCAGCTTGAATATTAAAAAGTGTTTTTTAACCTTTATTTTATTGCAAATTGACTCTGGTATAGGTGATGATCTTAATGCGTCCCTAGTAATGTTAACAAAAAGGTATAGCCAGTGCAAATATTTTGGAGTTCATTTTCGCCCGAATGAAGCACTTATATTTACTCATATTTCCATCTAGTTCAATGGGATTTTTTTAATTAGAAAGTCTTTCGTAATTTATTCATAATGTTAAATGAAAATAATTTTTAAAAGTCCATTATTAATGGAAACGTCTATAAAATATAATCCAAGATAAAAAAGAAGTTTTCGAAAATTTTGCTGCAGCCAAACCTATAACTGCCTTTCGCTTATTAAGATGAATTAATTCAGCACCATTATTGGTTAGGTCAATGCGTACCCATGGTTCCGCTTACATCTTTTATTTGAAGTTAAATGTTTTATTCTAGCATATAATAACTTGTGGTCGACTTTTAAATGGTATTTTAAAACCAAAATCTTTCCATGTTCATATTTAAAATATAAACTCGACGTTTACTTACTAACATTACCAAAATTTGAGAGATAATTTTAACAAATTTTACAAAATATTATGTTTTTAATGCGCATCACAATTAACTTCAACGGCGTAAGCATTCTAAATAAGCATAACTTACCAAATGCAACAATCGGATCAATTTTAGCTTTTATAATCCCAAGCTAGAAACTAAAAAATGACTGTTATCACCTTGGTATATTGCATTCTCTTTGTGCTATTCCCGGTTGTCAATATCTTTTAAGTTAATTTGAACTTATTTCGATTTCATTGAAAATTTAACTTAAAAAATCATTTCTCGTGGGCGAAATAAAATGTCAGCGTAATAGATGCATGTACTTTTTCTCAAATGCTAGGAGACCAAGAAAAGACCGAATAAATCTGTGCCCAAACCACCACCTACCAAAGTCGGAGAAGGAAGTAAAAAAACTAAAGGAAAGAAGAGCAAATCCAAACGGAAGGTTCTTGATAAAGGACCAGATAGGGCACCTGCTGATATTCTGGATCCAGCAGCAATGAATAATCTTCACCTGATTGCTCACAATGCCCCAGAAGCTCTTGCCTACCGTGGTTTCAATTGGTCTGGGAATAAAAAGAAGAAAGGGAAAAAACAAAAATAATTTTTTAATCAAAATCAGCCATTTTATGTAGCTTTTGTATTTATTTTCTCCATAGGGCCACTTAGATTCATTTACAGTCATTTTAGTTTCATTGATACATCCTTTATTTGTGAACTTGGTAAACATAAATATAACCCCATTTGGAAGTAAATTTAGGGTTTTTGGACTTTACATACATTGTTCATCTAATTTTAATTTTTGTAAGAAAATGCCCACAACTCAATATATAAATTCTGTATATCTCCTGGTTTGGTGCTATACCATATTGATAGACGCCTCATTTCACATCTCTGAATCGATTAGGAAATTGAATGAGTAGATGTGAGTCATGCTTAGTAGAGGTCCACCCAAGCAATGAAACTTGACCAGACTCCATGAAGTATTGAGTAAGTTTTGTTACGAAAAGGAGTTATGCATTAATCTCCTAATCTATAGCCCGACATGCCCCGATATTATTATTTTTAGCATACATAAGAGAAGCCTATATGTTTTCACAATCGTGGCAAATTTTGAAAGATTTGTAGAATGGGTTATTCTTCCAGCTAGATTGCTAGAGAGGAATCAAGCTGCATAAACCAATGTGTCCCGATTAATTAAGGCCTTCAGTATTACTCAAAAACCATTTATAAGCAACGTGATGATGTTTAATCACAATAGGATAGTGGTTTTTTTAAGTTGAAGTTCGCTGTTTAATTAGTGGTACGAAAACAACTATGAAATCGTGGTTAGTCTTCCGTCAAGACTAAAAGATCTAATATTAGGATATCAAATCGTTTTAATGAAAACAATCGTGAAAGAATATTGTTATGATATATTAATGCCTAATACACCGATACATACAACATTTCACTGTGTGCAATTCGTTTAAGTAACTAGCCCGAGTATGGAGATAGTTATTGAACTGCAACGGATTACTACACTTACAAGCTTTCACTAATCTCTATAGCAAAAGGCACAAGGCGATTAGTTAAGCTACCTCAACAGCATAGACCAAACTTGAATGAATATTTGTAGCTGACTGGCTGAGAAGACCAGCAACCTCCAGAATGATCGAGTGGTGGGGTGTGTGATAGACTTACCTCCACGTGGTGCACCCTGATCAACGTATACTCATACGGCTAAAAAGTCTTTGAACCGACAGTTGACTTCCGACTTCAAAACACCATCACCTCACTGTATGTCATATTCGACTACTTCCACAATACTCACCTCACCTTTTCACTCTACGTTTGTCTGTCTCTTTTACATCTTTGAAATACTCTTCTGTTCCCCCCCTCCCCCTCTCGACTTTTTTTCCACTTTGATGTTCCTTCTTCTCTGTGAAGCCTGAAGTCAACTAAAGGGCTTATGACAACTATCAAAATGCCTGCCATTTGATATTAATTAATGATCGAGTGTGCATGATGCAGCTTAATTTGATCGTCTTCGGCTTAAGTACTCCACAGACCTAAGATATCGAGGGTGAGAAGTTTATAAACTGTGAGTTATAATTAATGGTTGGAAATACACGAAACAATAGTCTTGATGTTGCCTTCAATCTATTTGAGTACTATCAGTTTACTAACAAATTCGATGGGCTAGTAATAGATAAGAATATTTATAAAATAGCAGATTATCTTGGATTTTTTGTGACATTTGAACTTTGTGCGGTGAGACAGAAGAGAAGGGAAGACCTGT